CGGACTCTTAGGTGGGCTATGCGGGTTCTCAGGTGGGATATGTGGGCTCTCAGGTGGGATATGTGGGCTCTCAGGAGGTATGTGCGGACTCTCAGGAGGTATGTGCGAACTCTCAGGAGGTATGTGCGGACTCTCAGGTGGGATATGCGGGCTCTCAGGTGGGATATGTGGGCTCTCAGGTGGAATATGCGGGCTCTCAGGTGGAATATGTGGGCTCTTGGGCATAGGTGGGCTCTCCTGTGGGATATGTGGGCTCTCAGGTGGGATATGTGGGCTCTCAGGTGGAATATGCGGGCTCTCAGGTGGAATATGCGGGCTCTCAGGTGGGCTGTGCGGACTCTTAGGTGGGCTATGTGGGCTCTCAGGTGGGCTGTGCGGACTCTTAGGTGGGCTGTGCGGACTCTTAGGTGGGCTATGTGCGGCTGTCAGATGGCCTGAAACCCGGACACAGGGTCAAAAAGGAGGGGGGGGGGAGCGGCCCACACCGGGTGACACCATCTGAGGGGGTGACACAGAAATGACTGACAGTGGACAGAGAGCCCAACAGCAGCATGGGGGGGGGGAGCGGGGGTTTGCACCGGGTCTATATCCCCTCCTCGTTTTGTTGGTTTCATCACCAAAATGGGCACCAGCAGTAAAGTACATCACCACGCATGCGTGATGACATCACACCACCGACCTCATAATGCACGAGCAGCGGCCGCGCCAGGTGACACCGCCGCTGCCTAAAAGTCTGGCTTTCCCTTCCTGTTCTATGACAGGAAGAAAGAAGGAGTATACAACAAGACCACAGACGTGATCAATCACCAACTGAAGGAGGAAACGGGTTGAGCGGAATCCCAGCTCTGCTTTAACTGCAAATCCCAACATGCCTCTGCCTCTGGGAGTCATGCCTGTAACTGTCAGTCTTGCAATGCCTCATGGGACTTGGAGTTCCACCACAGCTGGAGGGCCCGAGTTGCCCAGCCCTGCTCTAGAAGCATTGTATGTCAATGACAGGAACCACGGTCTGTCCCTAGTCTTGCTATGGGGACAGACAGAGTTTCCCGTCACTTGGAAATTGAGATCGAAGGTTGCAGAGGCTCCGCCTACTACGACATCTAAAAGGTTTGTTATGCTGTGTGAATGGGAACACATACCAAACACATAGAGGGGTTTTCCTCAAATTTGACAGCAAAGCTGGAAATACACTTCTAGCTCCATTGTCCTTTAACAGTTGACTTGTCTCAACCAACTCCCCGCAGTGCGTGAATCACGAGACTGGCTGAACAGCATTGAAAACATTTCATCAAGTGTTCCAGCTCGTGTCAATATACTTTCACGGCGCTGTTTGGCCGACGTTCAGCGCTCACGTTTAAATCCAGGCTTATGGGAATTCAATTATCCCCAAACTGGGCTCGTGTGTCCTCCATCCCTCCGAGTCATTAAGGGACCCCGGGAATGAGCAGGAAGTCAGCTGAGTGTTGGGTACAGACTGTTCCCGGGCGCGGATTACAAATGGCGGACGGCGCACATGTGGCATGCTGTTAGACACAACTTCCTGGCAGCATTTTAATCCTCGCATTTCGCCGGGACACACGTGCGGTTTTAGCTGAGGGGCCGGTTATACAGATGCGCTCTAATTTTAGAGTCACGGATTTATTTGAGGCCGAGCTGAAGGAAGGCGCGGAGGCTGACGCAGCTCCCGGGCGCTAAGGCTGCTTGACCTAAATCCAGCAAAGTCACGGACGATTTTTTATCCCTGAGGGGCGGACGTAGACCAGCGACTTCTGGCCATTGCAACGCTGGGATCATGTGTGCTGCTCCCCTCCAGATGGGAGATTCCCTACGTCACAATTAGGGGTGCCACCTGTACGGGATTCACCCAGACAGTCCAGGATTAGAGTCCTGTATGTGCTGTGTCCGGGTGTCAGGCCAGCTGAAACCCAGACACAAGATGTCACAATGTCAGGCGGACAGGGGCAACCACAAGGGTCCAGATGTTCCAACTTGACTGCATGGAGGAGGCACGGGACACGGAGGGATGCTGGAGCTCAGGGAGCAAGGAGGAGGTGTCTGAAACACAGGGTGCAGATAAGACTTGAAGGTCTCAGGGGTTCTGCTTCAGGCAGATGTGTTGCACGCTATCTCTCCTCACTCTCTCCCCTGGCTGTCTCTCCTCTCTCTCTCCTGGCTGTCTCTCCTCACTCTCTCCCCTGGCTGTCTCTCCTCTCTCTCTCCTGGATGTCTCTCCTCTCTCTCTCTCCTCGCTTTCCCTCCTGACTCTCTCCCCTGGCTATCTCTCCTCACTCTCTCTCTGCTCGCTTTCCCTCCTGACTCTCTGCCCTGGCTGTCTCTCCTCACTCATCTTCCTGGCTGTCTCTCCTCATTCTCTCTCCTGGCTGTCTCTCCTCTCTCTCCTGGCTGTCTCTCCTCTCAATCTCCTGGCTGTCTCGCCTTGCTCTCTCATCTGACTCTCTTTCCTGGCTGTGTCCCCTCGCTCTCTCTCCTGGCTGTCTCTCCTCTCTCACTCCTGGCTGTCTCTCCTCTCAATCTCCTGGCTGTCTCGCCTTGCTCTCTCATCTGACTCTCTTTCCTGGCTGTGTCCCCTCGCTCTCTCTCCTGGCTGTCTCTCCTCTCTCACTCCTGGCTGTCTCTCCTCTCAATCTCCTGGCTGTCTCGCCTTGCTCTCTCATCTGACTCTCTTTCCTGGCTGTGTCCCCTCGCTCTCTCTCCTGGCTGTCTCTCCTCTCTCACTCCTGGCTGTCTCTCCTCTCAATCTCCTGGCTGTCTCGCCTTGCTCTCTCATCTGACTCTCTCTCATGGCTGTCTCCCCTCGCTCTCTCTCCTCTCTCACTCCTGGCTGTCTCTCCTTGCGGTCTCCCCTGGCTGTCTCTTCTCGCTCTCTCACCTGGCTGTCTCTCCTCTCTCTCCCCCCTGGCTGTCTCTTCTCTCCTTCTGGACTTTAATACCCCATCAGCTCCCCCTCCTGATTTTTGTACCCCTTCAATGCACATGCACCAGCATGAGCTTTATGCCCTCAGGAATACTGTCCACCTAGATGGCTGTGGCCAAGCACATAAGCAGGCATGGACCTCCCGATTGGCTGAGCTCACAGCTTGTCAAAGCAGCCCATGTAGAGTGTCAGCTCATGGGTACGAAACTACATTGTATTACAGATCTCTAGTCACCGGCCTTGCTTGTCCCTGACCTCGATTTTACATGACGCTTGCTGTGCTTGTGGACTACATGTTTGGGTTCACACTCCAAGTTGGTTATCCTCAGCAGCCATTTTTGCCTATACTGCCCGACTATGAGTTGAGTGTCACTTTACTTTCCCCACCCCCATACAGATTGCATACCCCAATCACCATCAATCTCTCAGCATCCTCAGAAGGCTGCATTACATTAATCTGGCCGCTAGGTGGCGCCCTTCAGCCGCTTCATTGATTTTGTGCAAAGCACATGGCCGGAAGCCGCTCTTTATTTACCAGAATCAACATTTGTCATCATTTGCTCCGCATTTCATTTTATTTACAAGCAATTTCAACATTTCTACGAGCAAGATCGACTTAAAAAAAAAAAAAAAAGCATTCAGGCAAATGTTAAATGAACACATATAGATACCATGGACTGCCACAAACTGAAAGAAAGGAATGAAAGTGTTAATAAACCGGGTACGTGATGCCTGAGCTGAAGAAAAAACATTTATAATAAAAAAACAAAATACTAAAATATATCTTAAAAAATTAAAAGGCACCGCTGGGATTCGAACCCAGGATCTCCTGTTTACTAGACAGGCGCTTTAACCAACTAAGCCACGGCGCCGCACGCTGGCCCAGCCACAACAATCCTCTTACATAGAGCGCTGCTGCTGGTGGTGGCTTTTGGTACTGCAGCACACCATGAAGGAAAAGGGGGGCTGGGGTCTTCCTGAGAGAGGTGTCATTCACAATAAATGACACCACATAGAGGGCCCGTAGGTGGCCATGCGTTGCTACAACGCACAAATGTGAATGGGCCCTAATGCTGCCAAACCCCATAAGTGTCAACGAGTCATTGAACTGCCGCAGGGTCTGATTGGTCAAGTGATGTTCTGGCCTTTGTGAAAGCAATCCGTGTAGGTCAGTGGGGCCGGTACTTTCATATGAAGCTAGTAGAAGTACCTGCATTTGATTTGGTACTAGCCTCCTTTAATCCACTTAGCAGCAGAACTCATATTGAGAGAGGGAGGGGAACTCAGACTGGGAAAGGGGGGGGGGCAGGTCTAAGAGCCAATCGTGTGTTCTGCATGCACATGCGCGAACAAGAAACATGCTGGCAGGAAGAGACAGCATAGTCAGCCTAGGGGGGTTTGATTGAAATACTTTTTTGGAACTGGGTGGTGCCGACGGGGCCAGCCACGGATCTCATTTCGACCAAATTATATAAGCTAACAGAAGGAGAGAGACCGGTCACTGCTGCTCTTTCTCATCGTGCAGGGTGACTGGTCTTGTCTCCGCCCCCTCCTGTAATAAAGACCGGTCACTGCTGCTCTCTCTCCTTGTGCAGGGTGACTGGTCTTGTCTCCGCCCCCTCCTGTAATAAAGACCGGTCACTGCTGCTCTCTCTCCTTGTGCAGGGTGACTGGTCTTGTCTCCGCCCCCTCCTGTAATAAAGACCGGTCACTGCTGTTCTCCCTCCTTGTGTAGGGTGACTGGTCTTGTCTCCGCCCCCTCATGTAATAAAGACCGCTCACTGCTGTTCTCCCTCCTTGTGTAGGGTGACTGGTCTTGTCTCCGCCCCCCTCCTGTAGTTTTCTGCAAGCAGTCTGTAGTGGGCGGGGCCTGCTGTGTCCCTCCCATAGCTTTGCTGTATATGATATCATTGCTACTTTGACAAAGTAATATCTAGGTTTGCAGGCATTTGGTGCATTTATAACCTCCCTGGCTATAGAGCAATATATTCAAATGAAGGTTTTGTATCTGGAGTTCAACTTTATTTAAAAAACACACACAGTCACAGTTATTAAAAATAAAGTTTTATTCCATTGTTGTAGGGTCGGTCGGAGGTTCGGGGTGAATTATGTCTCTGGAGGGTTTAAAAAGGCGACAAAAAACACACCTGCGGATGACGTTGGCATTGTCCCAGTGCATGATGGGAAAAGGCTTCTGGCATTCTTCACACTGGAAGGAGACACAGGAAAGTTAGGCCGACCACAGGACGAGAGGCCCCTCATTGCCCACAATGGTAGGCCGACCCCCTCCCCCGCCCAACCCAACCTACAGCGCGTATAGGATGACTTTACTTTTCATGAAAGATTGGCTGCTTAAGACCAGCAGGGGGGCTCATCCAAAGCCAAAGACCGGCTGCACTCTGAAAAAAATTCAAATGCTGCTAACTTTATACATCCGGACAACATGAACAGAGAATCGCCACCTGGGACGAAGTCCTCCTCTGTTGCGTTCCACCCACAAGGTGCCTCTGCAATTAAGCCCAGCTTTGTGGGTGAAACCCGTTGGAGGAGCCGGAGACTCTCCGTTCATGTTGTCCGGATAAATAAAGTTGCTATCGTTTGAGTTTTCTTCAGAGTGCTGCCGCTCTTTTCCTTTGAATCGGTGCAGTCCTGGTTTTTGGGGGGGCACATCGCTATATCGCTGGGGTTTGAGAAGAAGGGTGCCACTGATTACGACGATGGGCATCAAGACTTATCGACCCTTACTCTCCAAATTCAGCCAGCATTGTAATGTAGGCGGAGCTTGAGAAGTCATGTCCCAATAACAGGCAGCAGGACTCCGGGACTGTGGGGTGGTCTGGTGGGACGCCCCCTTTACCTGGCAGGCCCATGATTGAAGGAACTATGACCCTGATCCTCACATAGAAGCTTCTACAAGCCATGCCCAAAATGTCTGCATTGCTTCTGGAGTTTACTTTATGTGCGGCCCACTATTAAAATGTTTCCATAGATGGAGCGATCCTGGTACGTCCTTCTATGATGGTCAGACACGGATCGGGCTGTATATGGTTCCACTCGGTGGCAATATAAACTTTCTGCACACAAAAAGGAGGAATTGAGTAGAACTGGAACAGGCAGAATCAGGAGCAGCTGTGCGAAGTAACCAATCAGCTTCCAGCTTGTTCAGTTAAGCTTTGTAAATGAAAGCTAGAAGCTGATTGGCTCCAGCCTTAGTAAACTCCCCTAAGAGAATTTCCAGCTTGCTGGGTAGAGCCAGCTGTCACTCACGCAGCTGGGCGGATCTCGACATCGATGCCGGGATCCGCTCCGGCTGCGGCGTCTCAGTATACCGCGAGCTGTAGCTCCCTATATACTGAGCTTAGGGTGACGGGAGGACGCTAGTTTGTGTCCTCCCGTTACCCTAAGGAGAACTATGGGGAAAAGCCCTGACTCCATAGTTCTCCTTTAATCACAACATGCTGTAAAACTACTTAATATTGTCACCTGGGCAGGCCGAGGACCAATCGCCTTCTTGTTCTGGATCACGGCCGGGATCTCCTCGCAGTTCTCTATATTCCACAGTCTTAGCGTAGAGTCCTGCGGGATTACACAGACATCCGATAATGCACACGCAGCACTCCGCCGCAGTCATCAAGGGCCCAGTCACACCATATCCAGCGCGTTCCGCTGCGGTGCGCTGGATAGTGCATGCAGCATTTGTTCAGATCGCACTGCACTGTAACTGAGGCCATTCCGGTACCTGGCATTCCGGTGCGGGCGATCGCACTGTGGGCGGGGGGAGGGGGCGGGCGTGTCTGTGATTCCATTGACATGAATGGCACCAACACGCCCGCCCCCAGCCCCAGAAAGCTGCCCGGTGTTCTATCAAAGTTTGTGACTGCGTTAGAATGTGTGACGTGGTCACGCATTTTAACGTAATCACGCCCACTTTTCGGCGGTGGAATATGTGACCGGCAAAAGGTGAAGAGTTCCAACGCTTTCTCAGCTGTTCCCGACTCTGTGACTGCGATCTCACATTCCACAGAGTCGGATAGAAATGACATTTCAGGACCGATCAACTGTTCCCGGGCAGATCGGTTCTCCTGCACGTGCCATCTGCGATGCCGATCTGCACGGGAACAGCTGAAAAAGTGTTGGAATTCTTCACCTTTTGCCGGTCACACATTCCACCGCCAAAAAACGGGGCGGCATTACGTTAAAATGTGCGACCACGTCACCGGTCACACATTCCAACCCAGTCACAAACTTTGATAGAACACCGGCTTAATCTATGCGATCCAGTGCGTTCCGAGCTCGAACCGCACCGGAAAGCACTGGACATGGTGTGACTGGGCCCTTTAAGGGGAACTCCGCTTTTATGACAAATTGTATTTGAAAGCTGAAGTTTAATCTGCTTATACTTTGCCTTCCCAGGTTCTCCCCTCCCACCTCATCAATATGATTATGACATTTTTAAATAAAACTTTTCCATTTTGATGGCATACCTTATTTTAGATCCAGTGACATCATCACTGGGTCTCTGTGTTTCTTTATACAATGCGGTTAGATCATGCTGATGGGAGGGGCCAGCAGGCTGCTTTACAGGGTGCTTCCGGAAAACATCACAGCGCCCCGATTCAGTATTTAGCCTTTATAGCAGGGAGCACAATGGGAAGGCTTACAACAATACAAAACACAAAAATTCCCCAGCCCCAACCTGCCAGCCAGCCTGCAACCAAACAAGTAGCCCTGTCTACAGTATGCGTTAAAATCAGAGGTTTTAGTTGCACAAACTTTTGGCCAAAAATATGTAGAAGCCACACCGCCGCGCCAAGGCACCTC